AAGTACCCCGATGTTGTGACCGCTAGTGTCAGTGTGCACTTCTGTAAAAGCATCCGCAGGGGTGGAAATGTGCAAGCATCGGTGGTGTGTTTAAAGCGGTGATTAGTCGAGAGAAAGTGTTAGCTTGAAGAGGCCCCCAACGAAATGAGACGTCGTCTTTGAGAAGATCTGTGAGTGAGCGTGCGAGTGCCGCAAAGTCTTTCACGAACCGGCGAAAGTAAGAGCATAGGCCCACGAAACTGTGAACATCTTGAATAGAGCGTGGAAGGGGAAAGTTCGTTACTACGCGTACTTTTGCCGGGTCTGGTCGTACACCGGAAGCGACAACATGGTGGCCCAACACAGTAAGTTTACGAAGACCGTAGTGGCACTTGGAAAAATTCAGCTGACAGCAGGCATGTCGGAATGTTGATAGAATGGTCGAAAGGCGTTCAAGGTGTGTGGCGAAGGTGGATGAGATTATCACACCATCTATGTAACACAAGAACGTCGCCCATTTAAATCCTTGAATCAGCGTGTGCATAATTCTCTCGAAGGTTGCTAGGGCGTAGCAGACATTAAACGTCATGACCTTGAATTGGTAAAGGCCATAGGGGGTAACAAATGCAGCTTTCTCAGGATCCATTTCATCTACAGCGATTTGCCAGTAGCCAGATCGGAGGTAGAGAGATAAAAATAGGTGGCGCCATGAAGACAGCCAAGTGCATCGTCAATACGTGGAAGAGGATACACGTCTTTCTTGGTTATTTTGTTGAGGTGCCGATAATCAATACAGAAACACCAGGAGCCGTATTTCTACTTTACGAAAACCACTGGGGAGGCTCAAGGGCTTGACGATGGCTCGATGATGTCTTTCAATAGCATGTTGTCCACTTCCTTCTGAATCACTGCTCGTTCTGATGCGGACACACTGTAAAACCAACGGTAGATGGACGCAAAGTCACCAGTATTATTTTGGTGCTTGACAATATTATTCTGGCCCAAGAGACAATCACAGATATCAAAAATGTCGCTATAAGAGGCCAAAACGCGGCGAGAGCGTCGGCCTGATGAGGCTACAGGTCTGGTCCAATCATTTTTCGAAAAATGGCTTTCACAGAACCGGGTATTCGTGAGACTTCGGCTTGGTCCAGAACAGTTACAGCGACAACGTTTATGTCATTATCTCTTATGGTAGTGAGTTGATCAAGCGACACCTGGTAGGGCAACACTTGAGGAATGAGGCCAAAATTTAGGAGGGGAAGAAACACAGTTGTCCACTATGGTGGCGACGGAATGCGGCACTGTAACACTGCGCGTCAGTCGTGCGTCTGTTATCGGTGTAACGACGTAGTCTCCGTCGGGAACTGGAGGGGTCGATGACAGACAGACGTATGTCACAGCTCGAGGTGGCAAGCCAACAAAAGTGGTTGGACCTAAGTGGCTGACGGGCTTTTCAAGCATCAAAAAGCAGGGGGAAAGTCGAGGCTGAGCGTGCCAGAACAGTCAATTAAAAGCGAGTGTGCCGAGAGGAAATCAAGGCCAAGTATGAGGTCAAGGGGGCAACAATCTAGAACGGCAAAAAGGACTATGGTGTGACGACCAGCTATGTTGACATGAGCAGTACACATGCCGAAGACTTCTACAGCGCCGCCATTGGCAACGCGTATGGCTTGAGTCGTAGAGAGTGTCATGATCTTCTGCAAATGGCAGCGTAGTTGTGCGCTCATAATAGATAGCTGGGCGCCTGTGTCAACAAGGGCAGTAACAGAAACATTGTCGACTTCTACTTCAATGAGACTGTGGTGTGCAGGCGGCGGAGAGCGGTATTGGCGGCGTAGCGGCGAAGGGGGGCTAGAGTAGTGGCAACCGGAAGAAGGGGCGTCAGTGGGGAGAGGCTTGTGAGGAGGCGGCGAGTAAAAGTTGGGCAGTGTAGCGGCTGGACGTCCAGAAGTGGTAGGGTGCATATAAGTAGGGTAGCTCTGACGTGGTGGGATAGACCAGTGGCGACGGCAATAACGAGAAATATGTCCAGGTTGATGACAAGAAAAGCAGATAGGCTGGTCGTCAGGGGTTCACCAATGCGTGAGGTTCCAGAAGGGCAAAGATGGAGGAGATCGGAGAACGTTACTTGAGGGGTATGGGCGTACTTCAGGTTGAGTCACGGGACACGCTCACTGAAGACCGGGATCTGCGGACTCCTGCCTCACCACCGCTCCAAGTAAGGCTGCCGATGGGTGTGATGGGTCAGTGGCTTGGCTTGTCAAAACAGGCTATTGAATGGGAGCAAGACAGGCAGCTTCAAGCTCTTAACGAAGAATTTGGGTGACGTGGTCATAGGTGGGTGGTTGGGGAGAGGCTTCACACGATGAAGTTGTGGCCGTGTTGGGAAGTAGTGTGAATAAATGTGATACGGCGGCTTTTGGCGTATTCAAGCCGCCGGCACTTTTTGATATTCTCATCAATGGTGGCGACATTAGTGTAGACGGGCAGGCTGAAGGCATCGTCAGCGATGCCTTTGAGCACATTCGATACCTTTTCAGGCTGGGGCATGTGTTCGTCAACCTGGCGACAAAGGGTGATAACGTCGTGAACATACGGACGTAGCATTCGGCAGACGTCTGTGCCCGAGTCGCTAACTTATTTCGCGCTGTTGTCTGTCATGCAGCGGTGTTCCAAAAAAGGTCACGGATCTTCTCCTTGAAAGTGTCCCAGCTGGTAATATCAGCTTCGTGCTTCCCGAACCACACCCGCACAGGGCCATGAAGGTATAAAAGCACGTTGGCAAGCATGAGTGTCGGGTCCCACCTAAAGCTGGCGCTGATCCGTTCATACACGTTGAGCCACTTGTCAACGTCAAGGCCATCCTGTCTAGAAAATACGCCAGGATCATAAGCAGGAGGTTGGACAACGTAGGTAGGAGTCACAGAATAGGCGGGTGGTGAAGACCATGTTCCTTGAACTTGTGACGTGGTAGGACCCGTGATGATGCGACCGTTTTGGAGCTTCGTGATGGCTACAGGGAAGGACCAGCACGTCCACCACAAATATGTTAGGCAAATCGAGATGGGACGTGACTATTCGCCAGTGTATTTACACCAATAAAACCAGAGCGCAGCACACAGTAAGCAAACCAGTCCTCTTCGTCCTCTTCTGTTCACAGAATGCCTCACCCTTTATGCAGTAGCTACATAGCAATATCACGCTCATGAAGCGCTCGTGGCCGTTTCGCTAGCTTCAAATATACAAAATCAGGTATCACCTGACGTCAGTGGGCGACGAAGTTAAATACCTGGTGAAAACATGACAATCATCACATGCTTGTAATGTAAAACATGACTGCATATTAGGCTCATAGCGCGGTCGTGGATATTTTGTTAGCTCCACATATACCAAGTTTAGTATCTCGTGACGTGAATAGAGTACGAAGGTACATTACACGGCTAAACACGATAATCATGACATTGAAAAAAATTACGAAATAATTTACGTCCGTCTTGTAACGTTGTGCATGCATATAAAGTGACCTTTCAACCATCCTCGTTTGTGATTGGCATACCATCGATTCCCAGAATATGTGAAATGTACCAATTTTTTCGTCCTAATTATTCCTATTTATTGAGTGAAGGAGAAGCGTTGCCTTGAACGAGTGGTGGAACGCTAATGTGGGATCCTGTGCCTACTTATATAGGGTGGATAGTGAACGGTTCTGCAGCTTGAGCAGTCGGTTTTTACTAGCATACGCTGCCTGCGTCTACCTTATCAGGCGAGCCTGAGAGGGGTGGAGCAAACAGTTGGCGCAAGATGCAAGCATGCGGCACAAAACGCCGGGCACGAGCATGCGCAGTGTGTGTGTGTGGACATCGCCGCCGGTGGACGACGCATGACATCGTAGAGCTACGAAATGCTTCCCATTTGAAAAGGAGCGTGAAGTCACGTTTCAAACCGTTGCAAGTCAGACTGTTTTGAAGCCAGCAGTGTTGACCCAACACGTCAACTTCCGCATCAAAATCGCGCAAGGAACGAGACTTCGCGCAACATCAGAGTATGCACCCGGTAGCTTTTCTTCGAAACACGCTGCTTCAACGCACACCGGCCGGCTTAAGCTGAAGGTTCAAAAACGGAACACTGCCGACAATACTAACACTGGCTGCGCACTCTGGCATTTTCGCCACGTGTTAGGCCAACACGATGGGCTTCACTTGGCTTCACTTGCGCGACATAACGCTCCTTAATTTTCTTCCATGCATATCTCAACTGCATTACGTTCTTGTCGCTCATTGTCGTTCACTGTCGTTCACGCAAGACCATCATTATTTTTGCAGCTGCGGACGTGGTGCCTGCCAAACAAGTGGGTGAAATCGCAATTCTTAGAATAGATAGAATGAATGTTCGGTGAGAGTGTCTCGTCATGCACTATAAAGAAAGCAATAAAGAAAGGAAGAGAAAGTAAGAAGGCAAGAAACTCGTCGATCAGGCTAGGAAAGTAGGCCAGAGTATGCTTTTTTCGAAGGGTGAACCTCGTGGATTTGGTGTGGAAGCCGGGCAGGCAGATGTGGTCGAGTTCGGTTTGGGCTCTGTATTACCTGGCGAAACTTTTTTTTTTGGGGGGGGGGGGGGGGGTCACGGGCCTGGGTTGTCATCCCCTGGTTTTATCACTGGGCCAGGTACGCACACACTAAGCTTTGCTTCCCCCGTTTTTCCGAAAAGGGAATCTCTCCAAACTTTTGGTATGGCCTGGAAATTGGAAATATTTATCTACGTCAACCACCATATAAATATTTATTGTTTATTCAATGTAACGTTATTTTCTAATTTGTCAACGTCCCTTGAACAGAAGGGTTCAAAATGCTCAGGCTGCTTATATTCCCACATGACACATTTGAATGTGACCTCAGAAAATAGTAGTTGTGAACAACTTTTATCATAAAATAGAAATCGCCAGCAAAACTTATTCATAAAGGTGAAAAAAACTGAGCCCCTGTAATAATTTTAAATACTTTTTGTTTCTATTGAAACAGGTTTATAACCAATACTATCTCCCTCATCGAAACAATTGTGGCTTTTCTCTGGTTCCTGTGATGAACCGACCGAAGTCTCGTGGATATGTGAAGCTCCGGACAGCTCAACCGTCTGATAAACCCATCATCAACCCAAGATATTTGAGTCATCCTGAGGATGTTAAAGTTGCCATTGAAGGTACGTTGGTTTGTAGTGAACGTAGGTGTTTTCTTGTACTTGTCACCTAATATGTGGTGTTCACGTTGCAAAGCCACTATATGAATGAGGGATGCTGTAGTGGAAGGCTCCAGAAATTTCATTCATGTGGATTCTTTTAACGTGTACCAAAATTCGAGCACACGGGCCTACAGCATTTTCGCCTCTATTGAGAAGGCAGTCGCCAGAACAGGGGGGACTCGATCCCGTGGCCTGCGGGTCAACAGTCAAACACCATAATCACTAGATCACCACGGCGGGGCTTTGTTCGAATGAATGGCTCTCCCTGAGTCTGCCTACGTCTTACCTTTTTAAGACGTGTAAGTAGACGTTACCAATAAGAATGATAATCCCGGCTTCACATGGAAGCCATTATTTAAAATGAGTTCATCTTTTTAGACCAATAATACTCAAGACATTTGCCACTTAGATTAATAAGCAACAGTTTGACAATTTCGTGGCATATGTTGTTTGTTTGTTCACGCTTGGGCAAAACGTATTTTTGCTGCTTGTTATAGTTACTGTAGTGATCTTTTTTTAGACACCGTTATGTTAGTTCGTTATCAAGACTGCTATGCTGTTTTAGGGCTATATTTTTATTTATATTTGTTCTATTCTGATCTTGCCTATGCATGAACGAATAGGCAGGTGTGCAGCCTTAAATAAATTAGGTAGAAAGTTTAACCTCTTCGGTGTAAACCTAAGTGATATCTGCTACCTAATGCGAATGACCCGGACAACTCTTATGCTTTTAGGTTCCAAGAAAATCCAAAAAACACTAAAAAGGATGAAATTCTGACGCTCAAATAACTAAGTTTTCGGCTTGAATCTTTCCCTTATGTCCGAAATTTGACTTTACTGCAGCAATTGTGACTGCATAATCAGGCATCCCCATACAAATCAACTACCGCGACTGACGAAGACCTCTCCTCGAGTTCTTTGCTGTTGCATACAGGAGAGCATCTGCAACACGATGCACACAAGTGGTGGGAATTAGGCTCCGGGGGTTGTATGCAGTAAAATATTTATTTATTAAGAAGTTCCTGATATGACATCAGCAAAAACCTAAAACCAGGTCACCAGAAATTATCGCACAGGCATTCTTTATTTAGCGACTGTTGCGAAAGTATCAATTAAGAGAAAGATATATTTATGCTCTATTAGTCGTCTCTTCCACAAGAGGCTGTTTCAATCAGGTATATGCGTTATCGCGTGTCTTTACAACCACTCCCAGAAGTCGTTTTCACTGTAATTCATTGGTAGCTGTAGTCAATGGCCACTCTTAAGCAATGAAATGCAGAATTCCAATGCAACAATAAAAGGGTCACAGTTACAAGGCATTCCCAGGAATTTGGGACATCTAGACGTGGTGCCATCTCTCAGCAGCAGGAACGGCGGCCTGCCGTGACTCATTGCGAAATAAGTGAGAAATATTATATCTCTTGAAGAAAAGTTATTTATGAGGACGACTTCACCTTATATATAGCAGAGACTTTTTGAGGAAATTTCAGTATCGCACTACAAAGAATGTGGCTTCCCATGACAATAGACCTTTTACCCATAAGCAATCCCACTACGCCCCGCGGGCAGGCGGAGAAATACGGGCCGAGCCAACGCCTCCTCTATCGCTGGTCGAGCGAACCGGCTCATTTCCGTCGCTGCTCGTTGGCGCCATGCGAGAACAAAACAAAAAGCACATGCCACCGCTTGTTGAATAGGGTCTGAACGCACAGGCTCCTATAATTAAGCGTGAACGCAATCAGTGTAGATAACCATGGGTGAAGTACATCGAACGTAGAAGATAATCGGCATGCGAGTTGTTGCGTATTGATACATATGGTGAAAACGTGCTATTGTGGGGTATTTGAGCTGGAACACTGGATTCATAGTTCATCAACGATTTACTGCTTATAAAGCGCAACGGCTTTTAATACTATCGCGGTTTGATTTGGCCGTTAACACAAGACTGCCCCGCCGAGGTGGTCTAGTGGCTAAGGTGCACGGCTGCTGACCCACAGGTCGCGGGATCCATTCCCAGCTGCGGCGGCTGCATTTCCGATGGAGGCGGAAATGTTGTAGGCCCGTGTGCTCAGATTTGGGTGCAGGTTAAAGAACCCCAGGTGGTCGAAATTTCCGGAGCCCTCAACTACGGCGTCTCTCATATTTATATAGTGGTTTTAGGACGTTAAACCCCACATATCCATCAATCAATCAATCAATCAATAAAACACAAGACTGCCGAGAAGTGTTACAGCATCAGAATATTTTTTCAATTTTTATGGACGCGTCAGGCGCTGAAAATAGGAATAGTAAACACATTCTAAACATGTTTAAAGTGAGTTAATAAAACTAGACTTCACGTGCAAGGTACCTTGCTCTGATAATTTGCGGTTTGTTATAAGATGGTAAAGTGCCTTGTATACTCATAAAGCAGCGCATACAGACAAGCACAAAAGGAACGAAAGGTGTCATTTTCGTTCCTTTTGTGATTGCCTCCGTGCGCTCTTTCATAAGCGAACGTGAAAAATCCCCAGCATGCCGAACTTCCAACGTTACTAAAGTGTATCTACCCAGAATGTTTGTTGGCAGTATATTCCGCATTCAGTGAGACAAATGCTGAATTTCACGTTGACGCATTGAAATCTTGTTCAATGAAGAATAATGCCATACTTACGCTCAGTGTAGAAAAAAAGAAACAAAAACAACTTGGACATATGATTTGAGCAGTAGTTTCCGGCTGCAAGAAGGCGTGGTGCCCTACCTATCTCATATTGCAGCGGTTTGTGAACAGATCATTCGCACTGTAGACAAAAATAATTTGGAAGACCTTGATCTGCGTAGTAACTAGAGATATTGCAGTTTTTCCATGCATACGTTCTGCACAGTTTGAAAAAAAAATGGCAAGTGATACAAGGTGAGGGTTGTGTTATTAGCACCATAAGCTCAGTAACACTACTTCCGTAGTACACAAAAGGTGACAGAGGTCGGGAAGAAAAAGTACTAAGCGGCACATGTCAATTGTTCTCTCAATCGCGTGCACGATTTGCTTACCGAAATCCTCTTGTGTTCCCATGTATACATCAGTTACGGTAAGGCTGGTTGATGGAACAACCACGTGCCTCAGAGAGCATCGAAACGCGTACAATTTACTCGTAAACAGCGTCAAAGGATATTGATTTCTAATGCATTCGTGAAATTATTGACAGTGCTCGCACCTTTTAGACAAGCAAGTGTACTGTTTTTTAGTTATGCCGAAGGCGGACTGGCGCTTAATGTCAAAAGAGGCGATTTGCATATGCAAATACACGATCAGTGCCCCGCTGAGTTTGGGCTAAAAGTGCCCCGATGTTGTGACCGCTAGTGTCTGTGTGCAGTTCTGTAAAAGCATCTGCAGGGGTCGAAATGTGCAAGTATCGGTGGTGTGTTTAAACCGGTGATTAGTCGAGAGAAAGTGTTAGCTTGAGCAGGCCCCCAACGAAATGGGACGTCGTCTTTGAGAAGATCTGTGAGTGAACGTGCGAGTGCCGCAAAGTTTTTCACGAACCGGTGAAAGTAAGAGCATAGGCCCACGAAACTGTGAACATCATGAATAGAGCGTGGAAGGGGAAAGTTCGTTACTACGCGTACTTTTGCCGGGTCTGGTCGTACACCGGAAGCGACAACATGGTGGCCCAACACAGTAAGTTGACGAAGACCGAAGTGGCACTTGGAAGAATTCAGCTGAAGGCAGGCATGTCGGAATGTTGATAGAATGGTCGAAAGACGTTCAAGGTGTGTGGCGAAGGTGGATGAGATTATCACACCATCTATGTAACACAAGAACGTCGCCCATTTAAATCCTTGAATCAGCGTGTGCATAATTCTCTCGAAGGTTGCTAGGGCGTAGCAGGCATTAAACGTCATGACCTTGAATTGGTAATGGCCGTCGGGGGTAACGAATGCAGCTTTCTCAGGATCCATTTCATCTACAGCGATTTGCCAGTAGCTAGATCTGAGGTAGAGAGATAAAAAAAAGGTGGCGTCATGAAGACAGCCAAGTGCATCGTCAATACGTGGAAGAGAATACACGTCTTTCTTGGTTATTTTGTTGAGGTGCCGATAATGAATACAGAAACACCAGGAGCCGTATTTCTACTTTACGAAAACCACTGGGGAGGCCCAAGGGCTTGACGATGGCTCGATGATGTCTTTCGATAGCATGTTGTCCACTTCCTTCTGAATCACTGCTCGTTCTGATGCGGACACACTGTAAAACCAACGGTGTATGTAAAACCAACGGTGTATAAACCAACGGTGTATTTACTCGTAAACAGCGTCAAAGGACATTGATTTCTAATGCATCCGTGAAATTATTGACAGTGCTCGCACCTTTTAGGCAAGCAAGTTTACTGTTTTTTGGTTATGCCGAAGGCGGACTGGCGCTCAATGATAGTCATAATGAAGTGATGCTTCTGAGATGCTCAGCTGGTTCACAAGTGCAAAACGTAGGCAGGTCATAGCACCTAAACATAAAACTTTTCGAGTGAATCACGCCGTGTTGTATCACAACTTGTCGACTACACTTTATCTGAGAATCGCTGGCAGGGTGCAAAAGGAAAGTTAAAGCGTGAGGCCCACGCGCTCGTCGCGGCGGCTGCTGCGGCGTATCAATTTTAAAGACGATAGTCTCTCTTGGGGACCTTCGGCGGAAATATTTTGGTCTGTCTGTCTGTGTGTGTGTCTGTCTCTGTCTGTGTGTCTGTGTGTGTCTGTGTGTGTCTGTGTGTCTGTGTGTCTGTGTGTCTGTCTGTGTCTGTCTGTGTCTGTGTGTGTCTCTGTGTGTGTCTCTGTGTCTGTGTGTGTCTCTGTGTCTGTGTGTCTCTGTGTCTGTGTGTCTCTGTGTGTGTCTCTGTGTCTGTGTGTGTCTCTGTGTCTGTGTGTCTCTGTGTCTGTGTGTCTCTGTGTGTGTCTCTGTGTGTGTCTCTGTGTGTCCGTGTGTCTCT